CCTTAGGAAGGGGTCATATCAGCAGGTGATATTATAAGTAAAGAAAGGGTCAATAGAGACACTTCCTGTTATGTCTATAGAAAGGGGTCATATCAGCAGGAGTCTCATAAGTAATAAAGGGTCAATAGAGACACTTTCTATGGTGTCTATAGGAAGGGGTCTTATCAGTAAGTGATGTCATAAGTAAAGAAAGGATCAAGAGAGACACTTTCTATAGTGCCTATAGGAGGGGTCATATCACCTGGTGATGTCATAGATAAAGAAAAGGTCAATAGAGAAACTTTCTTTGGTGCCTTTAGGAAGGGGTCATATCAGCAGGTGATGTTTTAAGTAAAGAAAGGGTGAATAGAGACATTTTTATGGTGCCTATAGGAAGGGGTCATATCATCAGGTGATGGCATGAATAACGAAAAGGTCAATAGAGACACTTTCTATTATGCCTATAGGAAGGGGTCATATCAGCAGGTGATGGCATAAGTAAAGAAAGGGTCAATAGAGACATTTTCTAAGGTGCCTATAGGAAGGGGTCATATCAGCAGGTGATGTTTTATTGAGTAAAGAAATGGTAAATAGAGACACTTTCTATGGTGCCTATAGGAAGGGGTCTTATCAACAGGTGATGGCATAAGTAAAGAAAGGGTATATAAAGACACTTTCTATGGTGCCTTTAGGAAGAGGTCATATCAGCAGGAGATGTTTAATTGAGTAAAGAAAGGGTCAATAGAGACACTTTCTATTATGCATATAGGAAGGGGTCATATCAGCAGGTGATGTTTTATTGAGTAAAGAAATGGTAAATAGAGACACTTTCTATGGTGCCTATAGGAAGGGGTCATATCAGCAGGTGATTTCATAAGTAAAGAAAGGGTCAATGGAGACACTTTCTTTGGTGCCTATAGGAAGGATTCATATCAACAGGTTTTGTTATAAGTAAAGAAAGGGTCAATAGAGACACTTTCTATGGTGCCTATAGGAAGGGGTCATATCAGCAGGTGATGTCATGAATAACGAAAAGGTCAATAGAGACACTTTTTATTATGCCTATAGGAAGGGGTCATATCAGCAGGTGATGGCATAAGTTAAGAAAGGGTATATAAAAACACTTTCTATGGTGCCTTTAGGAACGGGTCATATCAGCAGGAGATGTTTTATTGAGTAAAGAAAGGGTCAATGGAGACACTTTCTATTATGCCTATAGGAAGGGGTCATATCAGCAGGTGATGTCATGAATAACGAAAAGGTCAATAGAGACACTTTTTATTATGCCTATAGGAAGGGGTCATATCAGCAGGTGATGGCATAAGTAAAGAAAGGGTATATAGAGACACATTCTATGGTGCCTTTAGGAAGTGGTCATATCAGCAGGAGATGTTTTATTGATTAAAGAAAGTGTCAATAGAGACACTTGATATTATGCCTATAGGAAGGGGTCATATGAGCAGTTGATGTCATGAAAAACGAAAAGGTCAATAGAGACACTTTCTAATTTGCGTATAGGAAGGGGTATATATATATATGTATATATGTATTCATTTCAAGACTTTTTGTCATCTCTCACGTTATAGAAGGTGAGGTCCGACTACCTTTTTCCTGAGATAGGCTTGTGCATTGTCGTCGGATACAGGTTTCCACTTAACAAAATATGGTTTTTCCTGGACGGCCTCGACTATCCGTGAGGGAAATATTTTGGAAAGATTTAAGAGAGAAAGTTCATTTATAATGTATAGAAGCATTGAATTACAACATGTTTGTTATTTGTTGTTTAATAGAAACAATATTGTATTTGTTATTATAAAATTACATCCGGCGTCCATCAAATACGGCGGGCTGTCGACACATTGATATTTGCGTTTGTGTTGTTTTCTTTATAGGCATATGTAGTATAGATAATACTTGTATGTATTTATACAAATTATAAAATACATTTACACCATAATTACATTGAAAGTATAAGGTTACCCTACATTTATCATGATAATCATCATAACCATAAACGTAGTCAAATTTGTGAAAGGCCTACCCTCCCCCTTTTTACCCCTCGTAAATTACTGAAATCTATCGTTTTGCATTAATTATAAAATCATTGTGCAAATAATATTAATTGTATGATTAACTTCTTTTAGTGGTGTCCAAACAATAATATTTTAAGAAAAAAAATTACCTAACAGTCATATTTTTTTAAGGAATATAAATTAATTTCCTGCTATAAGTTAAAATAATTTCATTTCACCTTTTTTTAACTTTGCAAAGTGCACTAGGAGAAAAACCCCAATGAAAAGGAAGTGTGCCTTAGTGAGATTAGAGCAGGACAATGGTCGTCACGAGAGTAAAAGACCAGCCTGGATGACTGAACATGTAATTGAGTGAATGTACATGTCTGCTTGTGTATGAATTTTGTTTTATAACTGTAAATAAACCATGCGGGGCGCATGTAGATTGAGGCGTGGGTAATGTAATGTTTCTTGGTCGTTATGGTTACAAATAAGAAGGATCTTATTTGTAACAATATATGTTTAACGCTTGAGTAAGAGTTAGACAGATTTAGACGTTTGGCGGGAAAGTTAGTGGCCGGATCGAATGTTATAGGGGAGTTCGTAAGGGATTCTCTATGTTCCGTTAGGGGAACATTTAGAGAACATCCCTATCAAGGAAATAATGTATTTGACCACGGGTATATTTGTGAATGAGAAACGCCACTCGGGGCTGTCAATTGGCTGTCAGTGAGCTGTCAACCGAACGTACGGTTTATTATATGCTAGTAGAGCTATAATATTGTGAGAACACTTTGTACTGGGTACAAAATAAACGTACAAGTTGATCAGATTGACAGAGCAGACTGTCCCACTCGGAGGACAGACTGTACCAGCCCGCACTGTCTGGTAGTGACAGACTGTCCCACTCGGATGACCAGTTGTACCAGCCCGCACTGTCTGGAAGTGACAGACTGTCCCACTCGGAGGACAGGCTGTACCAGCACGAACAGTCTGGTAGAGACAGACTGTACCAGCCACACTGTCTTGTAGTGACAGACCGTCCCATCTGGACAGGCTGCTAGATTGTATTATATTTGTATATATATAATTGTTCGTCGTTACTTTATATCGGCAAAGAGCCCGTGTGTATATTTTCATTGTTCATTGTGCGGGAATTGTTCAAACATAAATTTTCTAAATGTTTATAACATTAATAGCAGATTATTCAATGAATACTAGTAGATCGTATTCCTTGTACGGATTTGGCTTTTTTTTTTAACTATTTTTGTTTTATTAGATCTTCAACGTTTGCATCACGTTTTGGAAATTTAATTGTTTCGTACTTGACCATCACTGAAGAGACATAAGTTGTTGAAATGCACATCTGGTGTAGTTAAATTGGTGTCGTTAATCTAATCTAAATACGCAGTCACTTCATTTTACAATTTGGACAATTAGACCGATGCATCTTTCATATTGATTAAGTCAGAGCAATTACCAATGTGGTGTCGGTCGATGAATACAAGTAGGGATTAACAAGTTTTAACAGTTTGTCCGTATGTCCCAAGTGAGGAACCTGTATTCAGATTTTGTCGTTGTTCGCTGTCTTTTCAATTTGTTTTACGTTTATTGTTTAAGCATAAATCAGGCCGTTGGTTTTTGTTTCAATTGTTTTACATGTTGGCTTTTTAAAGCTCACTATACGTTAAAGGGTTTGCTAATTGTTGAAGACCGTATTGAACCTTTAGTTCTTTTCATCCACGTTGTTGTAAATGTGTGCACTGGTTATCCCAAGTAAAGAAATATGGTTACTATTGTATAAAGAGATTTTGTATAGTTTATAAGAAGTTATTTCTAGTGTTTAGTATATTGAATGAGTAATTAACGTACGTTTTACTTTATGTTATTAGCTGTATCGATAACGTCTTATGGCGCAACTTTGTCGTGTATTGTTCAGAACGTTACCGCTGGGTCAATATTATAAGCGTGAGCCCAAAAGTGTACATTTATGGGTTCTTAGCTGAAAGAATTGATATGTCAAGATTGGTTTAGTCTCTAAAGTGTATTATTATAGTCATTTTGAGTCAAGCTTGAAGGACTCTTATATTTTATGTCAGCGTTGGACGTTATGTTTTTCTTCCTGCTTAGAATATTTACTTCCGGGAATTTCAAATAAATACCAGTGCAACGTCACGTTCGTCAGTCCTTGCTGTGTTTACATTTGACTTACAGCAAGGCCCCCGGGGGTTCCTAGCGGTAAGAAGCAGCACATTTAGCTGTATGCCTCGCAGTTTATCTTATGAGTAAGGGTCGTAGTTTAGAGGTAAGAAGCAGCGCAGAAAGCTGTATGCCTTGCATTTATTTACATTGTCATTGTAGAATTTAAGATAATCCCGTTTGGTCCGTACAAAAATACAAGAGAAAGAATGTTATTTAAGTAGCTCCGCCTCGTATGTTAATTTTATATTGCTGTTAGAATATTGTACATGTATGGAAATATATCGACTGTTCTTGAAGTTTAATAAACGTATCATTTTTACTATTGATTATTTATTCACGCTACCAATGCTGAGAGAGAGCAGACAACAAAATTGACAGCCGTATTTATTTATTCCCCCGTGTAGTTACAAGTTTTATGAGTTTATTCGTATTTGCTGGCTTTAAAACTATAGACAAAACATAGCAAGAAGCAGAAATTACGACACACGTCATATGGTACCTGGTGGATAGTTTTCACATTGACAATCATACCACATTTCCTTATTTTGAAATCAGATTGGAGTTAAAATAAGGTTTTCAGTTGCTATTTTGTTCATAGAAGGAAAATCACGCAATCAAATTAAGAATTTATAGCCATCTCTAGGCGATACTTGTTAACGTGGAATGTATTTGACGTCGTAGAATATATAAACATTGGATATAAGCATTGACCTAGATCAATATCCGTTTGGGAAAGCCAATAAATTGGAATAAGTGACAAATTAGGAATATTTTGTTTCATACACTGAATTACCGTTTAATATATAGTAAAGGTTATTTCATTTAATATGAACTTGACTTTTATAAAACAAATCGTATATATTGACATGGTTATAAATACAAAAATCTCTCTCTCTCTCTCTCTCTCTCTCTCTCTCTCTCTCTCTCATTTGAGGTTTGCTGTTTTCTTACATGGTTTGATGTAATTAGGATTTTGGCCATATAAAACAGCTCCTTTGACAACTGCTAAATCACCATCACTAACAGGATATATTATACTAACTGTCGGAAAGGCATTTTCAAATGTGTCTCTAATGACATTAGAATTCGAAAACCCTCCAACTACAATAAATGTGTCAATGTCATGAGGCTTAGCTTTTTTCAAAACAAATTGTATATCTTTTACTACAAGGGCAGCCACGTTTGAAATAAAACCAATAATAAACTCCCGGTGAATCCTTAATTTGCCATTTTTAAGAAATAAACTCGTCTTATATTTTGAATAATTCAATACTTCTTGAAATTCTTTTCCGCGGTATTTTCTGCAAAGCTCATTTAAGAGAGGCAATGGAAACTTGCAAGCAATGTGCTTTGCATTTGATGTAGATATTGAGTAGTTTATGTTTTCAAATTCGTTCAGTAGTTCAAGGAAGTTGCCTTTTGTTTTCAAATTTTGTATAACTTGTTTTCCTACGATTTCTTCCAAACATGAAAATAGTTGTTTATCCACATGTTTCCCACCATGACAATTCCCAGATGGTTTACAAATTTCATGTAACTTGCCCTTTTTGGAAACTCTATGGGCAGTTATGTCGTCTGTTCCTCCTACAAAAGTTTGAAAGCTGATGATAGCAGATGTACAAATTAAAACAAATGTTTATAATACAAAAGATTACGTCGTTCGTAGTTTGTGAACCCTTATAATAATAGTAAAACGTGTTTTCCCTGGATGCAAAGCTTAAAATTTAAACTTATAAGGGGTCCATCAAAGTTGTTTCTGAACAGATGATATTGGTACATAATCTGACGCATGAATTCATTTTTTATCGTTTGTGAACCCTTTTAATGACACCAAAACATGTTTACCTTGAAGCGAAACCCTCTATTTAAACTTATAACGGGAACATCCAAATGTTTATTTAAACGAGTGTTACAGGTACGTTTCGAATCGAATTACATCTAACTTTTCCAAGTTACAAGGTGACCCTAGTTTTTTGTAATGATTGTGATTTGTATTTGTGAACCCTTATCATGGCCAGAATTTGTTTACCTGGAAGTTAAGCTTACGAATTAAATACCACCGAGTAGTCTATTGATACGTGAGTTTTAAGTGTAACGTTTTATTATTGAATCACTGTATGATTATTTCACAAGGTTTGTATTTTAAACAAGTACATAAAAAGGTCACCGAGGATAATAATAAAGTACGGTAGAAAAAGTTTCCCTGCATTGAAATCAACCTTTGTTCTGGAATCAAAACAGCTAGTATAAAAATTCAAGACGAAGATAAAGAGTATTTTAAACAAGAGTGCAATAACGCTTTGACAAAGGTTGCTAAGGACACCTATGTATAAAATTAACAAACGTTTCGGTTTCGAGTAATTATTTTATAGTACATTACCAATTGCGACAATCTAACCAAAATCCAAGAACAACAAACATTGCTTTATTGGGCCACTTTGGATTGATAGATCTTTAAGTCTATTTGTACATATTTCATTTACAGGCGACCAAGTTGATGTTTCATAGATTTTACTAAATTAAGATCTGATATTGCACGAATTTCTAAAGGTTTAGAATAGTTGGACTGGTTAATAATTTTAGGCTTTAAACCCTCCGACCAGTTACTGCATACACATTTACATTCAAACGTACGTACCTCCTAAGTCAATTAGCAGATATTTGTTAGGTAACTCTTTAAACACATGATGCATATAGACTGATGCAGATTCAGATTCTATCACAATCATCAAGTTGTCATTATGGATTTCTGCCTGAAGATAATTCATTTAATAAAATTAACAAATAATCTGTGTACATTGTGGCAATATTTTGTTGGAATTATATGTAATACATAGAATAGAAAAAGAAGAAACAATCAAAATTCATCTTAAAACTACGGAATATATATATTCTCTACTATATAAGTTCAGTTTAATATCAGTACACAGCTTGATGTCATCTTATCAATTAGAATTAAATCATATTATATCAGCTCCCTAGTACCGTTACAAAAGAATAAGGATTATTATAAAGTTTTGTTATCATGGCCTTCAAAAAGATAAACTAAGATAAAAAAAAAAAAAGATCTTTTTATTTAAACTCAAAAAAGTTATTCGATGGTTTGATTTTTTTCATTTACCCTAGAATATTATTATAAGTGTCATATTCAATTTAGAGTCTGTTTAGACTGTTAGTTCCCGAGAGTATCAGGAGCTTATACGTTAGTGCTTCGGTACTGACATGATAGTTACCAAACTTTTCTTTAATTCTACGTTGATAAATTTAAAAATTATGAAACTAAAGTTCAAACTCCGTCAGACAAAGTTGACCTTCGATGATTTTTTTCAAGTCCCTTTATGGTCATATAGCTCTTTACGTTTACAGGTCTTATAAATCCTTAATTTTCAAGTGTTTGGCTTTGTTTGTTCATGATGAAGGTAAATCCAGAGAGGCGATACGGACGGACAAAAATTATAAAGAGTATTTTTTTATTTACTAGCACTGGGTCGATAACACTGCTGTTGGACTGTTAGTCCTCGGGGTATTATAAGTCCAAAGTCAATGCTTCGGTATTGACATGAATTTTAAAAAACTTTTCTGAAGTTTTCCGTTGATTAATTCAAAAAGTATTAAGAAAATAAGGTTTAAACTTTAAACAAAGTTGGCATTAGACGACTTTGGTTTTTTTCGGACAACTATCGACCACAGACCAAACGACCTAGATGTGATCAACTATAAGTCACCTTGTAGTGTTCAACAATAAGCAAATAACAAATCTTATAGTAACCTATATAAATTATGACAAAATGTGCAGTATATTAGACAGGAAAAATCCTTGATTAACTATCTTCGTATTGTGACCGGTTTGTCGCCGTTGACAACTATAACTTCTACACTACGTATATGACCCTACTACTTAATACAATTAAGAATAGAATTATTATCTAATTTGACATTTAAAAAAAAAAACATTACCTTTTCTGCGCATGTACGTATGAAAAATTCAGCTCTATCAGTCCATGCAGCTGGAATGGTTAACACCCACTGAACATTATTATTAATCAATCTGCTATCAATATTCTTAATTTCCGATTCTATGCGTTTCTTCAACAAACTGAACATACTTGAAAATACTTGTATGGCAGGCACTGGATGCCCTTTTATGTCGTCTATTTTCATTTCGTCAGAAATATTCTGCAAGTATATGTACAAATTATATATGCATATATGTTGTTGAATTCAAACTAAATAAAAATTTTAAAGAAATATTATTGTGCTAAATGTTTATCAAAGAAGTCAAATAAAAGGCTTCAAGGTAGCAACAGACCAATCAAAAAGTATATAGCTCCATGTTGATACAATATTCAAGGATTACTGTTAATAAGGAAGCTTTTGCAAATGAGTTTTAAATGGTAAAGTCATATCTTCAAAAGTTTACCGGACGCCATCCTGATATAGATCATCCGAATATTTCTGTTCAGTTATATCGAACAAACAAGCAAATTCTATGTCATTGCAAATATTAAATGTACATTTACTGTTATATCAATTTAGAGCTAATATGATTACCTTTGCATCATATAGTTCCATTTTAAATTTATCTACAAATATGTAATCGTCTTCTTCGTTTTCATCAATGAGCAATTTGTATTCATTTTGTGCATCATATCCAATATAAATAGGTTCAAATGTTTTACTTAATAAGATACATGTTGGTGTTTTGGAAGAACATAATCCTCGGTCTCCAGAATCCCATAGTTTATTTAAGTGTACACCACAAAGGTCAGATGACATACTGTATGCATATACAGATGAAGTAGTCCCAATATCGATTGCTATTACTAGTTTAACGTTACCAGTAAGAGTATTAAGATTCCATTTTGACGATTTAACAAATATACCTACAAATTAAAAAACAAATGTTGTTATGCAAATATTAAGACTGATGATATATCATAAAACAAATGCACACCCATTCTTTATCTTTTAGTCAGATAAAAGTAATTTTCTGATAATAACAATGTATTCTAATTTTGAGAAATCAAAAGCATCTAGAAGTTAACTCACCGGCCATAAGTATGACAATCCCTCCAACAACAATGCTTAAAACAGCATAACATAATTTGGTTCTGACTGTAATAGAACATAGATAAATATTTAAATTGAAAATAAAGGTTAATAATAAGGTGATACTATATAGTTACTAAATGATGTTACAAATATAGATTTCATAATTATATTTTGGTACATATTTTATTGCTTAACTGATTGACTGAATGGTGTGTAACGCCATTTTCTGCACCATTGGTTATTTTGTGTAGGTCAGGGCAGGGAAAACTGACAATCCGAGTCAGTTAAGATTCGAGTCGAACGTACTTGCCTTGTGCGGGATTCGAACTCACAATATCTTTGTTGACAAGTCAGTGACACAATAGTTGAACAGCATAGACCACTCAGTCACTTGTTCGATACATCTGCACAGGAGCAAGAAAATCTGTCATGACATTCATTTTATTGGTATAAAACAAAGGAAAAATCTTAAATTAAGGTATTATCTACACATACTTAACCCTGATCTTTTTCCAAGTTTTGAGAAGTCAAATTTCTTGACATTTCAGGTTTTTAATGCTCTTCAACTTTGTATGTTTTTTAATTTTAGTTCATCTATGAATTTCGGAGTATAGTGTGACGTCCATTTTCACTGAACTAGTACATATTTTTGTTTAGGGGCCAGCTGAAGACCGCCTCCGGGTGCGGGATTTTCTCGTTGTGTTGAAGACCAATTGTTGGTCTTGTGCTGTTTTATGCTCTTTGGTCGAGTTGTCGTCTCTTTGACACATTCCCCATTTTCATTCTAATAAAATTTAGAATGAAAATGGGGAATGTGTCAAAGAGACGACAACTCGACCAAAGAGCATAAAACAGCACAAGACCAACAATTGGTCTTCAACACAACGAGAAAATCCCGCACCCGGATTTTTCAAATCTTTGGCCTTTCCAACAAGTTATGCACTATCCCAATGTGTAGACGTCAGAATAATCACACATCTTCGAGGAACTATTTTTGTTGTCAAAGATATCAATATGACTTTCATATTCGAATTAAATGGACATTATTTAGGGCCTTGAAAAGTAAGTATGCGTTGATTATGAACTTAGAGGTGTTTGACATGGATAAGGTAACTCGGAAATGAAGGGCCGGGAAGCGATTGTCAGTAGTCGGGAACCAATATCTAAAAGGTGTAAAAATAAACATTTTCTATTTATCGTTTTGTTATTTGTTAGTCTTATCATCACTTTATAATATTATTATTATTAAATCAAAGAAATAGTGAAAATAGTCAGATATTAAATTGTGTTTTCTCTCAATATAGTCACATTTGTCATAAACGCTTTCCGACTGATAATGTTGTGTTGTTACACAACGGTCCTATATTAGGGTAGGATTGAGCGCTTTAACCCCGCAACATTCTATTTGTGCAAAGTCTCGTCATATGACTGAAATTATCTTTTATCAAAAGAACAAGGATTGATAGACATTAAACAAACAAAGTCCGAGCTCAGTTTTTATCAAAATCAAAGTGACTGTCTGATTGATCTGAAATCCCGTTACATGGTATAAAATTGGTTTGATGTGTTTGCGCTTTTGATTTTGCCATTTTATTAGGGTCTGTCCATTTTGAATTTTCCTACAAGTTCGGTATTTTTGTGATTTCACTTTTTTCTTCATAATCAAATTCAATAGATCTTTCATAAAGATTCTAAGTATCTTAAAAAACAAAGTAACTGTTCTACAGATCAGAAAATAGAATACAAGTACACATAAAAGCAAAATCATAATCAAATATCAAATTATGTTTTATTCTTGATCAACAACTCAATGTCATACGAGTGGGAGGTTTAGCTAGCTTTAAAACCAAGTTTAATCCACCATTTTCTACATAAGAAAATGCCTGTACCAAGTCAGGAATATGACAGTTGTTATCCATTCGTTTGATGTGTTTGAGCTTTTGATTTTGCCATTTGATAAGGGACTTTCCTTTTTGAATTTTCCTCGGAGTTCAGTATTCTTGTGATTTTACTTTTTGAATGAGTATTATAAAAATCCAATTTGTCGCCAAACAGACCTTGGTTAAAACGGACCATATCACCAATGTTAAGTTCAAGACCAAATATCGTATCATTCAATAATACAATAGCAGAGTATGCAAAGACGGATGAATGGCAAATGCAGTATGAAAGTATAACAATAATACCGAACTCCAAGGAAAATTCAAAAGGGGAGGTCCATAAAAACTGACAAAATCAAACGATATCAATCAACGGAACAAGCTAAAGTTGACTTGGTACTCAACTCAGTAAGTGAGAGGATAATAATATTGATTTACAATATCAACGAAAACATACGAACTACGATACCCATCAGTAGTACATCCACTTCCTATTATAAATTAATCGACACATATACTATCATTTAAGTAGTTATATATAACCAGTTGAACCCTTTAAACCTGGACACAGGACGCGGACGCCATACCTTATTGTTGGACCATTCGACCTTCGAAAGTGTACACGGGACGCGGACGCCAAACCTTATTGTTGTACCAGTCTACCCTCCAAGGCGGACGCCAATAATGACGTCATACCCTATTGTTGGATAAATCTACTCTCCAAGGTAGACGCGAATAGTGACGCCATACCTTATTGTTGGACCATTCCACCCTCACAGTTGGACATCTGACGCCAATAGTGACACCATACCTTATTGTTGGACCATTCTACCCTCGAAAATGTACAAAGAGACGCAGTTTCCTAAATACATAAAACTCCATGACTGGTTTCCATGCACATCACCTCTTCCTTCGCTCGCTTAAGTCACATCTTCTTAGTGTCTTTGTCCCAGAACAAAGCCTTGTATGGAAACAGTTTAGGTAGGACTTCAATATGGCAATTGAAAATGCGACGTCTAGCAATGTACAACTGCATTTTGGAAATGGGCAACTTTAGCTTCGAAAACATCAACATTTTGAAATATAGACGGAGTTATATATCACCCGCTGAAAGGTTCCAGTAAAACACAGAAGGCGTGACGTAATTGTTCTAAACCGAATTTATGTTGAGAATATGTTAAAAGCATTACGAATGCTACTTCAAGGAATTTAAGTAAACAAAATCAAGACACCTGGAAAATTATTAATACCAGTTCAGGTTTATGAAAAACATATATTATTAATCATGCTGACATATAAACACCAGTTAACTTAAATAAGCAATGAGAAGAGTCTGTTTGTTTATCTCTTCAATAATTTGTAAACAATCGTAAACATTCCACATTATTGCTTTCCGACTTCTTTGAACCACTTTACTGATACGTGTTATATGGTCATATACAGAATTAAAATTAAACCCCAAATAATTAGTTAAAAGGATAAAGCACATCTGGTGATTAAAAATGAAATGTCATCATAAACTTTTTTTCGATTACATGTATGCAGATGTACAATATTTTATCTGGTCATAATTTACGTACATAAGCATTTTTTAAACAATTGACGCGAATAAACTGACAGGGGGTGGGGAAATTTAATTTAAAATTTAAAAAACTTTCATTCAATAAAACTCATGAGCTCTATTAGTCATGGAATAGTAATCGCACAATTAAAATAAAAACAAATATGTAAAATAAAATAAACGAATGAATGAACAAATTTGATAAATGAAATGGAAAGTAGGTTAAATCTAAACAAAACAAAATATTGCAAAACGAAATGATTTGAATAAAAATCTAAATGAATATACTAAAATGAAAAATCATTCCAGAATAACATGTCGCCTATTTTCATACATTACTTTGTATCCTAAATTGATTATTTATATCATTAAAGTTTTTACAAACCAAAACAAACAACGAAAAAAAGTAAACAACTGAGTAGGTTAATCCGAATAGTTGGAATGATGACACGCATAGCACTCTACTGATAAGTTTCTCTATTTTAGTATAACACATTTTTAATAATCAAGATAAAGATACCTATTAGTAATAATAATAACCAAGAAGCCATATCAATAGGGATTTTTAATTATATGTGTATCCCCATGCACCTGGTGCTGTCACTGTACACACTTTATATTAATTATTTGTTCTGATTTTTTTATATTCAAGAGACAATAAAACTAGTCGTGAATCTCATTTAACATATACATTTGACAAGTCCGCGGTCGTAATTGATTTTTATCTTCAAAAATGCTATATTTATATAGGAGGTAGTGGATGGCGTTTACAGAATAGAGAATAATGGGCAAAAAACATAAAGAAGAGAATAAGGAAGGGGGGGATAACAGTAAACAAGTAATTACAGGATAGCCACTGTTTTTAAAGATAAAGAATAATGAGCGAAAAAATAATTCATACCCTCATATAGTGCTCACAGGGACCATACAACATTTACAATACGTATTACTTATATTAATGCATATATAGGTAACAATATTTATGACAAAAACCAAAAAAAAAACATTTAACAATTCAAATTATTATTATAAATATATTAGTAACATTTTTCTCTTTTTTTTAAATTTAATCCTCCATTTTTTATACGTGCACGTGAGAGAAACGAGAGCCGGTTTGTACCGGTTTGAATAAGACGATACAGGCGGCTTGGTATGTAGGCGGCACTTGGTAAGAAATAAACAATAATAATATATATCATACGGTCCAATCAAAATAAGTTTTATGTCTTTATAAAGTTAAAACTACCTTTTCTCCTATAAATAAAGGACTTATTCTTTAAAAGTCAACACATGCTTATATAATCAACATATGATTCCGACAAAATGAGAAATACCTAAATGCTTAAGGAACAGAGATATTAAAGGAAGATTCACTCATGAGACATTAACTTTATACAGAAACGATAAAAGTGTAATTGACGTCTACTATAATTGAGTTATAACAACTATTTCCGTACAGGAGATAAATTCGTCTACTGGAACCTGTACTAATATATTCATGCACAACACCATTTACGATTATTTCTTAAATGCGGTTTTCATAGGCGGATCCAAAGGGGGGAGTGGGGCCACCCGCCCCTCTCTAAGAATTTTTTAAAAATCACTGAAATATTTGGACAAAATTTGGTCCGGGCCCCCTTACAAATTCAAAAAATGCAGCAGGCCTGGCACTTTTCATTTAGTCTGGATCCGCCTCTGGTTTTGAGGTGAACTATATGTATAATAAAGCTATAAGAGTAAACTATTGGTTAAACTGCAATGAACACAATGGACGAGTTTAACTTATTTATTAATAGCGAAGACTCGCTTTCAGCGTTTGAAAATAACGTAGGTGACAATTTCAAAGTGTGCCTTCCAAAACGGTATACTTTGGATGGATCGTGGGTTGTGCATTATTGGAGTTGTCGTTCATATCAGAATTAGAGGCCTCAATGAGACGCATTTACCTCTGTTTTTATTTCGTGGACCAGTCGTATGTTAGGGAAACGTTTCTCTCTATTCTCAAGTGGATAGGTCTATTGAATTATGATATAACGAACGTCACGTTTGATAAACCAATCTATTTCCCAGTAAACAGGAACGAATTGTATCACGTCGAATTTGTTTTGAGAGACGATAGTCTGCAAATATGTCGTCTAAAAGATGACCACGTATTTCGAAGGAAATGAAGTAAAAAATCTATAGGAGAAAACTGCACACTCTGATTTTGAAAAAAATGAATATGTACAATTGCAATCTTTTTCGTAGCGTGTATGTGTGGCCGCACGATCTTCGAAGACATATGAGAAGTAGGCATTCTTCCACTGAGCAAGTATACCACCAAAATCTAGACCACCAGCAGCAGCAGGAAGCTTTCGTGTTTAGACACCCTTTCATCATGATCGTGTCCGGTTCAACATCCTGCGGAAAACTCATTTCATGACAAATATTCTTCGACAAATTAAAAGGTTGTGTAGTCCTAGTCCAGAAAAGATAATTTAGTTGTATAAAAGGTGGCAACCTCTTTGCGAGGAAATACAACGAACAGTGCTTCCACGCATTGGATTCATTCGTGGAATTCCTTTCGATCTCTAGAGTGACGACTTTTTCGATCACAATATTCGGAAAATGGTCATTTTAGACGACCTCATGTCGACATCGGCCAAAGACCCTAGACTAAATTATTTATTTACGGAAGGGAGTCACAATAGAAATTTATTGGTAGCCGTTTTAATCAGAACTTAGACTTTGACAAAGACCTAACCCAGAGACGAAACTGTCATTATCTCGTTCTCTTTTAAAACCCAATTGAACGACAGCCAATAAAGACTCTTGGCTGACAGATGTATCCTTCTCGAGCGGATTTCTTTATTCGGAAATTCAAAGAGGCAACGAAGAAACCTTTCGGGCACCTTTTTGTTGACCTGAAAGCTGGAACCCTGGAATCCTCCACATTGCGCAAAGAGGTCTTGCATATCGGTAAAGAAGATTCCGCGACACAAGACAGAAAGATGAGGACGACCATCTCACCGATACTTTTGAAAACGATATATCGGTCTCATCAGGAGACGACATTGCCGACAAGACAAAAAACTCACCTATTTCGTCGGAAGATTCTGAGATACAAGCAGATCTCATAGCATTTCGGGATTGCGGAGTAGTGTTTGCTCACATTCGTGAATTGGAAGCCCAAAGTCAACAAGGGTGTGTGAAGAAAAACGTCATTGCTCTCCCGATGACCGGTAAGGACGTAGAGGATACTTTGAGCGGATTACCCGTGACCATTTGCTGTGCAGACGACTTGCATACATATGTGAGCGACAGGTCTAGAACGTTTGTGGTCAATACGGACAAATTGTGATCAAAAGGGTAGTCATTGGGTTGCTTTTTATTTGCCTGCATCGGGTCCACTCGAATTGTTCGACTCATTAGGACAATTATCGGAAACGTACAAACAATATTTTAGAAATGTACTCATCGTTAAAGGACCGCAATACTGTGTCTTCAGCAGTTAAATTCAACCCGATGATTCAGAAACCTGCGGTCTGTATTGCATTTATTACGTCAAATTGAGATGTCGGGGACTCAAGATGGAGGACATTTTAAACGACTTTTCTTAAACTGACTTGACTAAGAATGACTGCAACCTCGTAGCCTATTTGGTTGAAATAATAATACAAAAAAAAATCCCCTAAACGTTTGAAAAAGAATCTTACTTGTTGTGCATTACAAACTATTCCTTTTCAAGGAATATGCTTATGGTTCAGAGGTATAAAGGTGTTAAGTGAAAGGCTTAGCGTTTAGCTATGAAGGGTCCTCTCACGTTTTATAGGGTGCGCCGTCCACTTTCAAGTATATCCATTAAAAAATATATAAAAAAAACCTACATGTATGTGTAGCAGGTCTCAAGTCCTGAACCATATCTACTGTCTGGAAGAGTGAGAGAGATTTCAAGTATTCCGAAAAAATAACGCGCCGTTTTTAAGGGTGTGCTGTCCACTTTCAAGGGTATCAATCAATCTTGGAGGGTAGACTTGTCCAAATATAGGGTATGATGTGACTATTAGCGTCCACCTTTGAGGGTAGAATTGTCTAACTATAAGGTATGCCGTCACTTTTCGCGTCCGATGTCCACTTTTGAGGGTAGAATGGTGCAACAATAAGGTATGGCGTCACTATTCGCGTCCACCTTAGAGGGTAGACTGGTCCAACAATAAGGTATGGCGTCCGCTTCCCGTGTCCAGGTTTTAAGGGTTCAACTGGTCATATATCACTACTCATTTTCTTTCTTTGAGGTTATGTTTTCTAACGTCGGAATGTGACATGTTTGCTTTGGGTTCTGTTAAATCTTTGGAATTCTTTTTCGTATGAATTTTGCTTTTGTTTTCCTCAGTCATTCAGAAAACAAAGTTGTCGAATACAGCAGATCTTCTTGTTGTTGTGTGCCTCTAACATATTTTGAAACTATGTTTAATTGAGTTTTTGTTTACCTTTATCTAGTTTGTTATGAGATATTGCAAGTTCTGTGTACTTGACTGTACTTTCCCTGTAAATTAAAGTTTTAAAAAAACAATTCACAACATTTCATATTATAACGAGTTGTACATTAATGTTTTACACAACATGATAAAAGTTTTCAAGATTAAATAAAAGTAATTTAAATATTCGATAAATAAAACGCCAAATGCAAAATCGTTCATGTACCTTTTTTTTTCATTTATTGAAAATGTAAACACTATTTTATACCTTTGTACTTTTGTTGCTTCGGAAGCACTATCTGAATAATTAATCAATTTATCAACTGAGAATTTAAGATAAGTATGCTATAAACCATATCAGTACCGAAGCACTGATTACTTAGCTCATGATACCCCTGGGACTAACAGTCCACCAGCAGTGGTATCGACCTAGTGCTAGAAAAAAAATGCTTCACAAATTTGCGGCGTCCGACGCGCTTTGGTAGATTTACCTTCCCTTTATCAAAAACGCATTAACACCAAATTTTCAAAGCCTGAACATGTGAAGAGCTAATTTACCAAGATGGACCTAAAATGAATATACAAATCCTTCTAAGGTCAATTAGCCTGAGTGGATTTGAACTTTAGTTTCTGAATGAACCTCAATTAATAAACGGAGAATTTAAGAAAAATAGGTTATAAATCATGTCAGTACCGAAGGACTGACCACTGAGCTGATGATAGCTGACAGACCACTAGCAGTGGTATCGATCCAGCGCTAGAAAACGAAACAAAAGAGAGGCGAAAGATATCAAAGGGGCATTCAAACTCATAAGTCGAAAATAAACTGATAACGCCATGACAAAAATAGAAAAGGGCCAAATGACAATGAATGACAAACAACAGTAAGCAAAACACAACATAGAAAACTAAAGACACGAACCCCACCAAAACTCCTGGGTGATCTCAGATGCTCCTGGAGGGTATGCAGATCCTACTCCACATGTGGCACCCGTCGTGTTGCTCATGTAAGTAAAAATCCGGATGATTTTTACTTTATTTTATCGATGCCGTAGTGAACCCTTACCACTCCCCTTAAACGCTTGGTTGTGAACGGTATAGTAATTGCCGACATGACCGGTCTAATTGCGGATTTTAGATTAAATGTGTTAAATGTGATACGAATGAAAAGAGATGTGAGATATACGTCAATTAGACAGCAACCCAACGAGAGAAATAACCAACAGCATGCCATCTCTGCATCTGCTTAGACGTATTAAATGTTTTCATACACAGCCCCTCAGTAGGCATGAAACGACTGGCATTTAAAACGAAAATGTGTTCCAGTGGCAAATTTAAACAAGCTTGAATCCATCGCTGTCATACGAAAATTGTTGTAACAAGAAAGGACTATGTCCGTTAATCTCCATGAACGTTTAATAACATGTTCTTTTGAAAATTTTGAAAATTTTGAATAGATAGGTATGGATCTTTTTAGAATAAATCTTGAATTTAAGCATGTTAAGAGCATTATTATCAAAATATGAATTCCTTTACCCATACAACAAATAATTATTAAAATACAAGGAAATAACTATCAAGATTTGTATGTGTCAGTGGATACTTACGTATTTGATAAAAACGGGGAATCGTTATGGTCTGTTGTAACTGTAGTACATAAGTATTCTGAAACAAACGTTGGGGAAAACATAAATTTATGTTCTGTCTCTCTCAAAAAAAAATAAAATAACAAAAAACAAAAAACAAAACAAACAAAAACAAACAAAAACAAAAACAAACATAACAAACAAAAAATATACAGAAAGTGCAGTAGACATTTAATTTTATCTCATTTTTATTAACTAATAATTGCTGGTTTCTAGCCCTCGGTCTATGTATGTTGTACACGTTTAGTAGAGTTGTACAGCAAAAACAATTTAATGAAATTACTATACTTACAAAGGACATTAAAGTACATGTATCAGAGTATCACTAAGTGTTTTACCTGCTATGGAAATGTCATTGAATGGATCAAAGTAACATGAACAATCTTCTTCGAGCGGCAGGCAATTACATGGGTCTCTTGGTTTGGTAACAAAATGGAACCCGTTCTTGAAATCACATTGGCATGACCTATCAACTATTACTGAACCATTGGAAGATGGTATCTGTCCATCTTCATTACACTTTGATTTATTATATAAACAACGACTGCTGATATTAGCCCACAAAGCAAAAGGTTGGTATGTATCCAAAGAACATGCTACGGTAGTTCGAGCACCAGATATAACGTATTTTTCACCTGAAATGAATAGGAATACTGCTTTGTACATTTAAGCATTTAATGAAACAATAGGAATAAGAATAAGAATATGCATTGTTCTAGTTAAGGTCAAGGAACAGTAAATGGGCTATGTCACAGATTTTGCTAAAACTTTGCATACAACCTTGGCTCGTTGAACTATAACTGAAAATCGAAAAAAATAATGCATTTATCTCTTTTATTGTCTGAAATATTACCGATTGAATTCTTTCAATATAGGTGATCATTTGTATAGAAAGCACATAAAATCGGCGAAAATCCTTCTTAAAATCATCAAATTCTGCTATTTGGATTATTCTCTAAAAACTATATGCTGTTGGTACATAAATTTCCAGGCCGATAAACGTTGATTATTGACGTTTTTGACTGCCAAGTAGGTAAAAGATTGATTATTAGACAAAAAAAAGTCGGTGACCATATGATTATCTTATATCATAAAAACGGAAATTAATGTATCAACAACATATAGTTTTTAAGAAAAATCTATGTAGTAGAAATGAGAGACTTGATGATTTTAAGACAAATTTAAGAAGGTTTTTCGCCAATTTTATGTGCTTTCTATACAAATGTTCACCTATTTTGAAAGAATTCAATAAGTAATACTTCAGATAATAAAAGAGATAAATGCATTATTTTTTAGATTTTCATTTATAGTTCAACGAGCCAAGGTTGTATGCAAAATTTTATCAAAATCTGTGACATAGCCCATTTACTGTTCCATGACCTTAAGGGCCTTTGATGGGCAGCATGGCATTTATACACCCAAAACAATACGCTATGATTTTGTAAAAAAAAAAACAATTTACATTGAAATGAAAAATTAAATGTTTGTACAGTTATAAACCTTCATATATATCTTCTTCTAATATAAATCATGTACATTTTATTTCAGCAGAACCAGAACATCTATGTGTCAATTGTTCGACAAAATAATATGATGATACAAAGGGGGCATCAATAAATCAGAACTGAAAAAAAAAGAATACCAACACTCTGACCAAAATAAAACAAATCCTGATTGAAAGAATGTAGAATTACTTGTAAATCAACGGACGCCGTCACGAGTTGGTTGACCGTTATGATTTATCTGTTTCACAGATGACGAAGGACACCAGGGTGATTTCAGCTGCTCTGTAAAATTCACGCAGGAACACTTGACTTTCTTCTCATTGCAATAACACACTCCTCATTCAAAGCATAAAGACAGATTAAGAAATTGGTCCAATTTTGTTTCATAAAAAAGAATGGTCACCACAGATACAAATATCTTGTTTTAGGAAGGGACAAATCATACTTTGTGAAAAAAACACTCGGATTCAAATAGAAAGTTTACTGAAATTGTAATCTTTTAAATGGTGGATTTTTTTTATAATATTTTTGTTTAATTTAATTTTCTTCGGAAAATGCCTGTACCATGTCAGTAATATGGCAATTGTTTTTCACTTGTTCCGTTGATTGATAGCGTTTGATTTTGTCAGTTTTTATGGACTTCCCCTTTTTGAATTTGCCATGGAGTTCGATTTTTTGTATATACTTTTTTAGAGGACATGTTTCTCTGCTTGTCGAATTGTTCCTTTACTCTTATGAGGCAGACATACACAAGCCTCACAAGAAAGTGAAAAATGCTGGCGTGATCCTTTAATTTCACTTTTCGCAATGTCTTTTCAGTGAATAATTGTGAACTATATTGACTCCATCTATCCCAAATGAGCTTGAAATAAAGGATACAACATATACAGTTAAGTCTGCCTCATATCTTGACATGCATCTAATAATTAACAATGAGGGTCTGTTGAGAAAGAACATTTACGACAAAATAGATGATTTCAATTTTTCAAAATTCCAGCAGCGCCTGCAAACGTAGTACACATTTTCATGTTGATACGATAGAGCTTGAGTTACATGCTCGTGTATCATGATTGCATTGATAATGGGAAAATGATTACAAGGAAGCTATTCTATCAAGGGTTCAAAGTGGTAAAATTAAGCTATCCCTTCGAAAGTGTAAGGGACCCCATTATGATTTGGACGTCCGTTGTGGAATATCTCTGTCACATATTACTACGGAGGTGTTCCACTTGTCGTACAGTAACCACAATCCCGTCCTCATCTTCTCGATTGTGACATTAAGTTTTACTTACATGAGCAACACAATGGATGGCAGATGTGGAGCAGGAACTGCTTACTTTTCTCAAGCACCTGGCTCGTGGGGTTCGTGTTGGGCAATCTTTATCTTACTATGAAGTATGTTGTAGACTATTGCTTGTCTTTTAGTCTTCATTTTGTAATGTTCGTTTGCATGGTAACTGCCATCCCATATCATACATAGCCATTTGACGTTCTACCCGTTGGTATAAGTATGGTGACAAGAAGCTAAGGCGTAACAAATTTTTATTGGAAGACAAGGCTGCTTTTGCTCTTATTTTTGAAGATGAATATAAATTTAATGTCCTTCGATTAAAGACTGTCTTAGAGTACTAAAGTTGTGCAGATTTTTTTAAATTGTGGTCATAGGTCAGAAGATGAAAACAATTTAAATATTTACTAAAAATATTAATATCTAATCACCGGCATTTATATACATAATGATTTTATTCACATTTTACACGAAAAGAGTTTGGTAAAATATAAGTAAATAATGATAGAAATTGATGAAAATTTTATTTTAATTTTGACAGTAAAAAGTTACAAGAAGTTTCTTTTCTGGTAGTATAAATAGTAATTTAACGAAACTTTGCTTAATACCAGTGGCAAAACCGATGACGCGAGAACAATAGAAAAGTAACGCTTAAAATCGATGAAAAAATCGACAAAATCAATAGTAAAACAATGCCGGTGACGATACTGGTTGAAAGTAATTTCATATCAACAATCGTACATTTCAAAGAAAGTATTTATTAAACTGTGCCATCAGAAATATACATACAAATACATGATGATTCAGCATCATTACTGCGAAAATAGCATGAGAAGCTTGTGAAACTTTAGTTTTAAAAAATGTTAATCTTTGCTGCATATTGATAAAAAAAATGGAAAAAATCATGTACATAGAAATATAAAACTCTTTCAAGTCACCAATTTTCCGAGTGTTTCACATACTCTTGGGCATGTTACAATTTCAAGAAAATACCTTTTATCCACATCTTACTCATCGAGTACGCCGGTTTGTTCATGGCAGTGGACTCTCATTAACGATATATTGCATTTGCGTAAAAATACAGATTTAAAAGTTGTGTCTGTGCAGGTTATAAAATTAAAGATAAATAAAAAAAATATTTTTACAAAATATGTTATTCGTTTATAGATTTTTACTTTTTTTCTAATAATAAATCGTCTCGATTTTGTTCATGCATTTGCGGTCATCTCAATGTATTCACATGCAATGGTTACATCGGTATACAGTCGTTTTTTAAGACGAAATTTGTATTTAAAGGTGTTAATCTTTGCTGCATATCAGTCGATTCTTTTAGTATTTTTTTCCTAAACTCTGATCTAGCTGCATACATATCTGAATGAAAAGTAGCACAAATGGGTAATTAACGTGTGATGGCCTCGCCTTTATCGTCTGCTTAATGCAAATTCCTTTACGGAAAAAAGGATTTTTTAACCATTTATACAGCCATTCCCAATGTGAAATTGGAAAATCGTCTTAAAGAAATAATCCACAAAACTTTTCAATATACAAATGGTAACATAATCAATAAATGTATTGCTTTGTAATACCATACGGCATATTTTGTTAATAATGTACAAAAAGGTAAAACATGCTACGCAGAGGAACAAGTGATCAATATGCTGGAGGTTCTTATTGTCAACATATTTTTTGAATTTGGAGGTAAAATGTTTAACAAATTATCGGCATTCCTATGGGAACGAACTGTGCTGTGCGCCTCTCCTTTTTCAACCTCTTCTTATTTTCATATGATTCGGAGTTCCTTCAGACACTTGTCAAAAACAAAAAGATCAAAGAAGCCAGATTATTTAATTTCACAACCAGATATATTGATGATGTTCTTTCCTGATTAAGTTCCACGAATATATCCTCCAGAACTAGAAATCAAAGAAACAACAGACATGGCTTCACCCGCCTCATTTTTAGACTTATACCTCGAATTTGACATAAGCAGTCGTCTCAGTACCAGAATCTATGACAAACGAGACGATTTTAATTTTGAAATTATAAATTTCCCACACCTTAGCAGCAATATACCAACTTAACCTGCATATGGGATATACATTTCCCAACTCATTCTGTATTCCGGAGCTTGCAGCTGCTACTCAGACTTTATTACATGTAACCAATTTCTAAGCATAAAGCTAATGAACTAGGGTAATGTCAAAGAACGTCTCGTCCTTTTTTTTTAAGTTCATCGGAAGGTACCAAGACGTTGTTGATAAATATTCCGTATCAACTTCACAAATAATACATGATGGTCTTGAAATATAGATTCTATGTCTTGACTTTGTTTATCATCTTAATGACGTGTTATAGTGTTCGTTTTTATTTGTCTATGTATATTTTTAACCTTTACTGTCTAGAGCATTTTTGGTAATATACCTTTGTCATGGCTCGGTATTTATACATCCCGCCATTGTGCGATTGTGCTAAGGTCATTTTTTTATTCTTTGTCTTTCATTTTTGCTTATGTACTTTATATAGTGTCTATATGCCATTTTTTTTCTTTGTTGAAATAGTTATTTGTGTTTATAGGGATTATAACACAATGTTGACTGCTGTACCCCAATTTTCGTTTGTCGTTTTGTTTTGCTCAGATATTTTTGTCAATATAATGGAATGGGTTAAGTGAGATGTTTACTTAACTATAAAACCAGGTTTATTCCACCAGTCTCTAAATAAGGAAATGCATGTACCAAGTCAGAAATAGGACAGTTATTTTCAGTTTGTTTGATGTGTTTAAGCTTTTTATTTTGCTATTTGATAAAGGACTTTCCGTTTTGAATTTTCCTTGGAGTTCGGTATTTTTGTTATTTTACTTTTTACCTGGAGATGAATAATCTGCTTCGACATCACAGGATTCAACACGTATAAATGCATTTACATCGTACAAGCAAGCATAATGGTCGAGTGTATGACTGCCACAGAAACCTTTTGCTCTTAATCTTCTCTCTGTCAAGTCTGGACATTTTATGTCGTATAAATAGACTGGACAGCAGGATATCAATATCTGAAATAATATATATTACTGTTTAATATATAAGAGTATAGTATGTATTATCAATCGATGACTCAGTGTTTCCTCGATATAAACACTTTTGAGTCGTGCTCCTTAATTTACAAATAATTCTAGGGCACTACGGCACCATAACATAAGTTTACTAGGGCAACTAGTGCACCAAATCAACAGGACACTCAGGCACACTGACATAAATGTACAGGGACTAGGGCACCATATGCAATTTATTAGGGTTCACTAGTCAAACAATGAAATCTAAATAGAATTCTGACAACATTTTTGATGAAATATCCAATTCTCAATATATTTATCATGAATACCCCCCAACCCCCAAATCATTTCCCCTCACCCAACCCCATAAAAGATAATAATGATCAAAAAATATAAAGAATAGAGAAAAATGGACCAAAAAAATAAAGAATAGAGAATAATGAGGTGCTAAAATATAAAGAATAGAGAATAATGGGGAAAAAAGTATAAAGATAAGTTAAGCCTTTTTCAACTGATTTTTATAGTTTGTTCCTATCTTGTCCTATTACACCACTGTCCCATTTTAGGGGTGGGTTGGGCGCCCGATAACATGTTTAACCCCGCCACATTCTGTATGTGCCTGTCCCAAGTCAGGAGCCTGTAATTCAGTGGTGGTCGTTTGTTGCTGTGTTACAAATTTGTTTTTCGTTAATTATTTTGTGCATAAATCAGGCCGTTAGTTTTCTCGTTTGAATTGTTTTACATTTGTCATTTCGGGGCCTTTTAAAGCTGACTATGCGGTATGGGTTTGCTCATTGTTGGAGGCCGTACGGTGACCTATAGTTGTTAATATCTACGTCATTTTGTCTCTTGTGAAGAGTTGTCTCATTGGCAATCATACCACATCTTCTTTTTTATCAGGTTGTGATAAAAATAATGTTATCTCCCTTTGAACATTAACTTCTAAAACATTTGTCGTATGTAGCATTGTGTGAATGTAGTTCTTTGAACGGCTTTTGGATCTTTCTGTGTACATTTGATATAAATTTTTGAATATTATGCAGTGCAATTTCACTAAAACGGTTTTACCACGTATTAGAGTTATACATGTTATATATTATCTTATTTAATCTAGCTGTTCATTGCATCATAACATAATCATGTAGACTTATATATATGAAATAACGTTTTAAATCAATTTTCATTTAATCATGTTAATATTTCCATCCAAGAATATTTAAGATTTAATACGAGTAATAATACAAACCAAATATAGCAAGGCTTATGTTTCAATACAAAACGAAAGTAGAATTTTGTTTTTCGTGTATTTTTTACAATTTAAATGAAGAAACAAGTGATTACCTGGTTTAAAATCAATACTGCTGAATCAATTGACTTCATTACAGTGATATATGAGCATGATAAAGCGTCAAATACATTCCAGTCGGTTCGTGTTCTTTCATGATATGTGATACCTGTGCAGTGGCAACCCGCCAGACCTATAATAGTAATAGGTAAAAATTATTTATAGAAAACGTTCTACCCGTCGGTACGTTTAAACTGTTAAAAGGTAACTGGAAAATACAAGTGACTTTCGAGTGAATAAGAACAATAATTAAATTCAAAATTCAATAATTGAAAGGTCTTTCATTCTTTAAAATATATATAACGTGGAAAGATTTTGAGCCAAAACAAAAGTGATTTTATGAAAAACATGAATTGGCTTTATGTTGTTGCAGAATTTACATTGTAATAGAAAGTAAAATAACAAAAATACCGAACTCCGAGGAAAATTCAAAACGGAAAGTCCCTAATCAAATGGCAAAATCAAAAGCTCAAACACATCAAACGAATGGATAACAACTTTCATATTATAGGCATTTTCTTGTGTAGAAAATAGTGGATTAAACCTGGTTTTATAGCTAGATTAACCTCTCACTTGTATGACAGTCACATAAAATTCCATTATATTGACAACGATATGTGAACAAAACAAACTAATAGGTAAAATAATAGACATAATAGGTAAAAATGTCAAAAATAGGGGTACAGCAGTCAACATTGTGTTATAATCGTTATCACTATAAAAACAAATAAATATGTCAACAAAGAAAAACAAAAAGGCATATACGTCATTGTTACATTTGGTTGATACATTCAACAATACCTTCCGTTATCTAGATGATATTTTTTCGTTAATTAATCCAGAGTTCTCTAAATATACTACCGAAATTTACCCAATAGAACTTACTTTAACTAAATCTAACATAAACAGCAGTAGTTGTCCTTTTCTGGATTTGGACATTTCAATCTCTAAAGGAAAACTCCATACGAAAATTTACGACAAAAGAGACGATTTTTCATTCCCTATTGTTAATTTTCCTTTTTTAGACGGCGATGTTCCTTTGGCTCCATCATACGGTGTTTATATATCCCAACTCGTTCGTTATTCCCGTGTGTTTAGTGATGTCATAGATTTTAACGAACGTAATCAATGCATCACTGGTAAATTATTAAGTCAGGGATTTCGTTACCATAAATTACGTAAAACTTTTGCTAAGTTCTTTCATAGATACAAAGATTTGATTAGTAAATTTGGCTGTACCTGTAAAAAACTGATTAAAAACGGTATTTCACATCCTAAATTTTACGGTAATATTGTACTTAAAGCGCGGAAATCACTATGTGATCCATGTAAACTCATCGAACCTTTAAACAAACTTATTAGTAAAGGTTATCTTAAAAATATTTTAATTAGATCTTTGAATATAGTTTTCATTAGCACTAATATCGATTTTGTCATCAGCAAATTAAAACATAACTAAATTTGTATTCTTTTCAAACGGGATGTATAAAGACACACCCACGTTCATTTTGATCTATAAAGAGGTTAAACTCCTAACTATCCTACTGTCTGTCGATACATTTATTTTTGACATTGCACTAGTCGTGTCTTCTTTGACTGTCCATGACGTTAAAATACTAAATCCCTGGGATGTGTTTTAGTTGATTTTAGTCTCTGATGCATGATGCATGATTTATTATTATTAATTGTTTTGGCTTTTAACTAGCTGTCAGTAACTGCGAGTACTCTCAAATCGTACTTTCTTGTTTATTTGACCTGTTGATACTAATTGTAATGTTTTTTGGTTATTTAATGTTATTCAGCGTTATATCTGGTCTATATACCAGCTTTGATAAGTGTTTGGTATTACTATAAAGGAGTAGGTCCGGTAAGGGCCGGTTTTGGCCTCAAACTTCAGGTTCATCTGATGAAAGATTTTGAACACTTTTTAGACACTAAAGTGTCTACTTTAGTCGATTCAATTAGTTAATGTGAAAGATTTGAACTGATTTAGTCATTAAAGACGCCCAAATTCAAGCTTAAATATGAAAAATCTATCAAATATGTTATAATATGTCACTTTTCAGATGGTTTTTGTCAAAAATGAAAGTGGCCGCATCCGTGTTCATTCTCAACCTTTATATATGTTGTGTATTATCATCTAATACAACTTACATTTAAATATTAAGAATGAACACAAATGCGGCCACTTCCATTTAAGACGGAAACCGTCTAAAATTTAACTCAAATGCTAAAATTGTGAAGATTTCAGTAATTTAGCATGACTTAATGATGATAGTACCCGATACATGTGCATTGTATTGTCAAAAACAGCTCATATTTATGTAACAGAAGTATTCTGCTTTCCAATAAATAGCTAAAAGTTTACATTTTAACAATTTTGTAAAACTGCTATATTTTGGGTCCAAAAAGGGGTCTTACTGGGCCTACTCCTTTTCACTTCGTACTATGAACATCAAAATTATTTATTTTGTAAAAATATTTTCTTTCTCTATTAGAACTGTACACGTATACCTAACAACAAAATTATTTTCATTTACCTGTGTTTAAAGTTATTGCAAATGGCTGATATTTTTGTTCGAGCATATTGGTTTTTTTAAATTGTTTAACATTTCATACCGATATAACATGTTACTTTTATTATTCTTCCCTTAGTTTATTTATTTTGTATTTACATTGTATCATAGGTCAAATTTATATGTTCAGTAAAATTGAGAATGGAAATGGGGAATGTGTCAAAGAGACAACAACCCGACCATAGAACAGACAACAGTGTATGTTCACTGGTGTTAATATGTCCTTTGATTGAGTTAAGCTATTTCAGTTGATATTTTATAGTGTGTCTTTCTATGTTGTGATGTTACACTATTGTTTCAGAAAAAGGGTGAAGGTTTGGTACCATTTAAACGTTTAAACCCACTGCATTTGTTTGCACCTGTCCTAAGTCAGGAATCTGATGTTCAGTAGTTGTCGTTTGTTGATGTGGTATATAAGTGTTTCTCGTTTCTCGTTTTTTATATAGATTAGACCGTTGGTTTTCCCGTTTGAATGGTTTTACATTAGTAATTTTTGGGGCCCTTTATAGCTTACTGTTCGGTGTGAGCCAAGGCTTCGTGTTGAAGACCGTACTGTGACCTATAATGGTTTACTTTTATAAATTGTTACTTGGATGGAGAGTTGTCTCATTTGCACTCATACCACATCTTTTTAAATCTATATAGACAAAGCACATCAGCAAAAACGAAAGACAAGAATACAAAAATTTTATCATAGCACAATAACACAATGACGGGATGTATAAGTACCGAGCCAAGTCAAATGGATATTACCAAAAATAGACTTTTCAAATGGTTTTTCGGGATGTATAAATACACATCCACGTTCATTTTCTATATAGAGATTACTTTATCTATATATAACATTATACATATTTATTGAAAGGTTAAATCCTAACTATCCTACTGCCTGTCGATACTTTTATTTTGGCATTGCACAAGTCATGTCTTCTTTGACTGTCCATGACGTTAAAACACTAAATCCCTGAGTAGTGTTTTAGTTGATTTTAGTCTCTGATGCATTATTTTTTATTATTAATTGTTTTTGGCTTTAACTAGCTTTCAGTAACTGCGAGTACTCTCAAATCGTACGTTCGTGTTAATTTGACCTGTTGATACAATTTGTAATGCATTTTTGTTATTCAATATTTAGTTATTTTGTGTTATATCTCGTCTCATTATTTTTAATATATACCACCTTTGATAAGTATTTAGTATGACTATAAATTTTCACTTCTGTTCTTGTACTATGAACTACAAATTTATTTATTTTGTAAAAAATACTTCCGTACTCCATGTACTCCTTACAACAAAATTATTTTTATTTACCTGTGTATACGTTCTTCTTCTTCCAGATAAGGAACCGGATTCAATATTTGAATGTATATGGTTCCGCGCGGAAACTTTGCGCAGTGTCGGGCAACACAGAAAGTTCTCTCTTGGCTATATACATTTAAAACGTTCGCAATATTTAAACAATTAAAACTATGTACATATTGGTGTTACCTATTTCATTTCAGAGCATGCCTTCAAGGCAGCTCTGAATCCTTCAACTGTGTTTGCCGATGATATTGATGTTGGTAGGTTATTCCAATTCCTGATGGTCCTTGGGAAGAATGATTGGCCGTAGGCATCTGTACTGGTTCTTTCTTGGTAGAAGCGGTGTTTACCTCTGGTCCGGTTATCGTTTGGAGTCAAATATTGTTGACGATCTATGTTTATTAGTTCATGCTGGATTTTGAATAGCATGCATAATCTATTAGTTTTTGCTCTGCTCTTCAATGCACAGTAATGGTCCATGAACTGTGCCTTGGGGTACACCAGAGAGTACTTGTACTTGCGTGGAGACAGCTCCCTCTAGTATGACACTCTGCTTTCTGTTATGTAGGAAGGAGCGAATTCATCTGTTGGTTTTAGGATTGACGCCGTAATATTCAAACTTGTGAAGTAAGCGATGATGTGGTACCTTATCAAATGCTTTTGTGAAATCAAGTAGAATGATATCTACTTGGCAGTTACTTTTTAATTTGATGCAATGTCCTGGATGGTTACGATAAATTGGGATTCGCAAAATCGTCTTTTGCGGAAACCATGTTGTGCATTAGTAAGGATTTTATTTGTGTAGAAGTGGTCCATTATGTTACTGTGTACGATATGTTCTAAAACCGTGCATGTGATGGATGTAAGAGATACTGCTCTGTAATTAGATGCCAAGTGCCTTTCGTCTTTTTTGAAAAGTGGGACTACATTTGCATCTCTCCAATCTTGTGGGACGTCGCCAGTGTTCATTGATGTTTGATACTTTGATACAAGTCTGTAAGGATGGGAGCAAGTTGGTCTGCTGCTGCTTTCAGTATAAAAGATGGTTTTTTTATTTAACAGCATTTCGTTCAAGGTTATAGTTGTCTTTCTTATATTGTTGTATATCTCACCCCCCTTTTTTTTTTATTAATTTTGTATTTACATTGTGTCATAGATCAAATTTATTCGTTCAGTGTATGTGTACTTGCACTAGTAACCCGAATTTGGCTTGAACGGCCAAAAAGGTATTAACGA